GGCCCTTTTTCATTCATTGTACTATGTCTTTGTCAGCTTGTTCCTGTTCTTTGATTTTAAAAAATCATCATCATTATTATTATTACTTTTTTTTTTTCCAGGATCTTCTCTTTACTCTGGTGTTTTACATTTCATGATGATGTGTCTTGGCAAAGGCCCTCTTTCATTCATTGTACTATGTCTTTGTCAGCTTGTTCCTGTTCTTTGATTTTAAAAAATCATCATCATTATTATTATTACTTTTTTTTTTTTCTGACTGGTAAGGGGATCACAACCCTCGGCACGGTGTGGTCTGCACCACGCTCAGCCAGTGGGTGCACCGGCCATCCCTATATAGGATCCGAATCCGTGGCCTCGGCACTACCAGCACCGCACTCTCCCGAGTGAGCCACGGGGCCAGGCCCATCATTATTATTTTTTCTTTTTTTTTTTTCTGACTGGTAAGGGGATCACAACCCTCGGCACGGTGTGGTCTGCACCACGCTCAGCCAGTGGGTGCACCGGCCATCCCTATATAGGATCCGAATCCGTGGCCTCGGCACTACCAGCACCGCACTCTCCCGAGTGAGCCACGGGGCCAGGCCCATCATTATTATTTTTTAAAAAATGTTTCCTCCTAGCCTTTGTTAGTCACATATTTGACTTTCTAGATTGTCCTCTAATTTATTTCTTCTCTCTGAAATAAGCGAGGGAATGTTATCTTTTTGCCTTTTTATGTTATATGAGAGATTTTCATACATTTATCTTTCAGCTTTTCTATTGAATTTTTAATAATTTTGTTTTGTGTTTTATTTCTTATTTTAGTCTTTTCTCACAGCAAACAGCTTCTCGTGGAAGTGTGTCTTCTCTCCCTTCTCTGGAAATATTCATTGTGTTTGTTTGTTTTTAAGGTTTCTTTTGCTGTCTGCATTGCTTCCTTGAGTCCCTTTTTTTATCATTGTTTTGGTCTGTGCCTGAGGCTTTCCTTGGATGTTGGTGATCCTTAACTGTCTGTTCATATTTAAGAGTAGGGCATTAAAAAGTTTATTTGGAATCTCTGAAACCTGGGCAGAGCTTTTTGGCATAATATGCTGTGAACTACCTGCTTGGTTAGAGTACCATCAAATGTCAGAACTTATGTCTTGGTATTTGTGCTACTATAGCAAAATACCACAGAATAGGTAATTCATAAAGAACAAAAATTTATTTTCTCACGGTTTTGGAGGCAGGGATGTCAAGATCAAAGCACTGGAAGGTTGGTTCAGTTGTTTGCTGAGGGCTGCTCTCCACTTCCAAGATGGTGCTTTGATACTGAGCCATCCAGAGGGGAGGAACACTTGTGTACTCACAGGCAGAAAGTGGAGGAGCAAAGGGCCAACTCCCTCCATCAAGTCCTTTTATTTGATCACCTAATCCCATTTGTGAGGGCGAGGCCTGCATGACTCAGTCACCTCTCAAAGGCCATACCTCCCAATACTGTTGCATTGGGTACTAAGTTTACAACACATTAATTTTGAGGGACACATACAGTCCATAGCAACTTGGAAATCTTATTTTTGGGCAAGAGGGGAAAACCATTCAGTTTTTCTAGAAAAGACTCCTTTGCTTTCCTGCCTAGGAAATTATACAGCTGTGTGTTAGCATTCTAAAAATAGGGCAGGGGAAGGGGACAGACGATCCCAGAGAGTGGTATAGAGCTTTTCTCTTGTACCACATCCAGCCTTCTTCTGTGCCTGATATCCTCCACTCTGGAGCTTCTCTGGTTCAGTTTTTCCAAAGAATAAATTATTTTGCTTCCAGTGAGAGGAGGCGGTAGAGGTGGTTGGTCACTTGGTTGTGTGAGATAGTGGAGAAGGCCCAGGAGGTTCTGCCCACCTTCTTCTGTGCCTGATATCCTCCACTCTGGAGCTTCTCTGGTTCAGTTTTTCCAAAGAATTAAATTATTTTGCTTCCAGTGAGAGGAGGCGGTAGAGGTGGTTGGTCACTTGGTTGTGTGAGATAGTGGAGAAGGCCCAGGAGGTTCTGCCCATCCTCCTTTCCCTACCTTTGATCCTCACAGGGATTCTAAGGATCTACTTGGCTTCCACCCTCACCTTTATTTCCTCTGGCCACTTGGGTGATAACTTCCTCTTACTCTTTGTTTCCTTATTGCCTTGGAAAAAAATTTTAAAATATGCTCTTATTAGTTCTCCCTTTCTCTTCTTTCTTGTAGGTTAATACATTTATTTTATTCCTCTGCTGTCTTTTAGAGGAGTTGAGAAGGGAGAAGAGATAAACTAATGTGTTTAATCTGCCATTTTTAACTGATTCTGGCATGTATTTTTCTAGTCAAAGTATTATAAATGTTGATTACATACTGAGTAATACTATCAATACTATTCTTCAAGAATGTTGTTATGGATTAAATAAGCTTTTGTGGACTGACCTGAAAACCTAACTACGTCTATGATTTTCCCCTAGAACTAGAGATACAATCAAGCCTTTCTGAGTTGTCTATATGGAGGAATTATTATAAACTAGTACAAAAATATTTGTCCTCTCAATTTTCCTAGTAACATAGAATATTACTTACAAATATTGTGTCATTGTTGTTGGGGAAAAAGCTCCAATAGCTGTAACAGAAACCTGAATCTTAGTGGAAAACTTTGTTCATAAAGTTAAGCTATAAAAATTGAACTCAGAAGCAAAATTAAGTTCTTCAACTGACATCCCTAAAGCTTCATTTTTCAGCAACTTTTTTGAAAGCAGTTTTCCTAATTAAATTCAAACCCAGTGATAGTGATAGCTGTGGGAAATAGTAATAGCCCTGGGAATAGTTTGTCTAATTGTATTTTTTGTTGCTTTTTCATTCCTACCCTGGACACAACAGATTCTTCTGAAATATTGGACTGAATGAACTAGACTTAGTCAAATAGACCAATAAAACATCTTCCTAATTATGAATGACTAAGAATGTCCATGCAAAGCACTAGGATAGTGAAAATGCAGCCCAGAGTATGCATAGTACACAGAGTGCATGAAAGTAAAAGCTGCCCAACTTGGTGTTTGAATTGCAGAGACCACTGCAAGTATAATAGATCTGCTACAGTTGTGCAGCTCCAATTTCCTGCGTTCAGCAAGGGTATATGAGGCTGTCTTCCAGAGGATCGCCCCTGTTGTGCTGGGGCAGCCTTCCATGAGCACTTGCTCCCCAATGGCCATGACTGCCCCTGTCTCAAGGGATCTGAGACCATTAGGAAAAGCATGAATGGTTGTAGTAATCTCTTTTGTGCTTGGAACAAGTAAGGGCAATGAAATGCAGTCTTTTCATTATTTTCCTTCCCTTTTATTTTTCTCCTTCTCTTTCTTCTTCTTTTTATTATTATTAACCTCTCCCCCCATCACCTCCCCCAGCCTCGCTTTTGACAGAACATTGACTAGGAACTAGAAGCACATTTTTGCTTAGCCTTAAGGGCAGCTGTTTACACAGTAGCAGTGTTACATAGGTTTACTATGTCGTATGTCTGTGTAACACTGGATTTGGATCTTGTATTTAGCTGCCAGAAGTGACTGTGATGAAGTAGGAGAGATAAACTGATAGATTGGCTGCCAGAAAGATGTTGGGAATCAATCAGATAAACACAGTAGAGAAATAGCTTGCTGTTTTCTAGTGATAATAAACCAGTGGCCTCTGGTCTCTGCATTTTTTAATGTAATTGCTGTGGTAATAATGCCCAAAATAAGCAAGTGAAAAAACATCATGGGAGGTTTTTTAATTGCGATTGAGATATACTTTTCCCTTTTGCAATAAAGATTCATCCTATGGAAGTGAATATTTTTATAAATTTGTTTTACTTCTTCCAGTGCCTACTTACACAAACAAATGAAAATTAGAAAGTGAACTACTTTCATTGGAATTTATTCCTCCTTCTGCGTCCTCCCACAGGCTTCAGCTCTTTAATGTGGTGAGATGTATATTGCTACCATGCCTTACCTACAAAATAATTGCTTATTTTTGTGAAGAAACAAGTTTTAAAATTAGACCTGTATTATTGACAAATGATTAGCAGGAACTAGTTTATTTTAGCATCTTCCCTTAGATTTTTCTCAGAAGATTCTTGGAATTTTAATTTCTGTTGCTATTTCTCTGCATAGAGCATTTCTATAGGAGAGATGCTATTTAGTTTTATTATTGTAATTTAAAACTGTCTTCTTTTAATGTTTAACTTTTAAATCCAATGCTTCTCTTCATCTAGGACTTGAAGATCCAGTGCAAATTCTTAAGTCTGTGTGAAAGGTATAGATTTAGACTTTGGCTACAGTGGAGTACCCAGGATTAAGAGGAAAGTAATTTAGAGTTCACACGGAGTTAATTGTATAGGATAAAAGACCAGTCCTCTGTGTTGTATTTGCAGTCTAAACAAAAGACTTTCTTGAGGTTCCCTCTTTAAATTTTTGTGGCTGCGAATATGGTGGTGTCATGTACTGTTAAGTCACTTAATAGCAAGCATGGTAGAGTAGCAGCTATGGAATGTGAGAGAGTAAAGTCTATGCTTTTAATTTCATAAAAATAAAAGCTTTTGCCTGAGTGAGACCTTCCTGACTGCTGGAGGTTATAGTTCAGAAGTTAGCTTTGCACTGTTATCCTGTTGGTGAGAAGCTGATGCGTTTTCCCTTTTGCCACATAGACCTTCCCACCTGACCTTTAAAGATTCTCCATTGATATCGATGGGGTGGACAAAACTAATCATAAAAACAGTGAAGGAAATGTTGCACACTCATTGATCCATTTGAAATGAACCGCAGTACAATAAGTCTTCCAAATGGACTCCTGCTTTCAGCTATTGCTGTAGCCACCTTTTTAAAGATATATAAATATGAAAGGGTTAATGGGAATTCAGTCATGCTCTTGCCACTGGGGTGTCCCTTATTGATTGTAGTGTTAGAGCTGTCACTATACCATGCAGCATTTCTTCTGTGCCCTTTTAAAGTCAGTTGGCACTGGAGATGATAACTAAATGTTGCTTTCCTTTTTCCCCTAGCTCCTTCGAGAACTCATAGAACGGAAGACCAGCTCCTTGGACCCCAATGATCAGGTGGCCATGGGAAGGTAATTTAAATATGGCTTTCTGTTCATGCCAGCAGCCTATATAATAGTATCTCCCCTAGAGTGCCCTGAATTCTACCTCCAAGGCAATGATTAGCCCTGTAATTATAAAAGTTAAGTGAGAGATAGTAAGAGCTAGAAAAATAAAGTGACTAATTGTTTATCCTATATTGCCTTAGTACAATTTGAAAAGAGATTACAAGATACCTGTGTGTTTGTTTTAGGGTTTGTCTTTCTTATGCTCGTGGCTCTCTGATTTGGGTTGTCATTATATCCATATCATCCTGCTGACCAGTAGATAAAAAGCAGCCACCCGAATGTGTGCTCTCAGGTGTCAGAATGTGCCACTGAGCACAACAGGTTCCTTGCTCGTAGTCGAATCTGCTTTGTTAGATTCTGCCCTAATTTAGACCTCCACCCCTTCAGTAAAAGCTTCAGCATGATTAGAAATGGAACGTGGCAGCACTACCCAGATGTCAGGGTAGAGTGTAGAGAAGGAAGGCTTTTGTGTGTATGCTTCATCCTGAGGTTGGAAAATAAAAAGGGTATTTAGAGTGTTACCTAATGAATAGTGTACATTTAAATAGCCATGAGCCACAATTTGTGAAAGCGTGAAAAGAAACAAAAGCTGCCAGTGCCAGAATGGGATTCTGGGCAGAGCAGAATCTTGAGAGAGCAATGAAAAATTTGTGTTGATGAAATTATTTTATTTGAGTAAAATATTATTAGAATTTTAGGTAGGGTAGAATGTTGTTGATATTTTGTATATCTCTGGGATGTCATAGAGAGCTGTTCACTATAAATTTAACGTGAAAGAGCAAATTGCATTTAAGTGGTGATTATATTGTACATTTATCTGAGTTTACAATAAAATAGATTGTGGTAATTAAGATTATATTAAGATTACAGTAATTGGATTTCCCTAGATTTTTCTTTTCTGATGTTTCGTTTCTGTTGTATAAATCAGGTAAGATGACTAGCTGCTGCTGCTGTTTCTTCTTTTCCTCCCTTTTTCACATATTCGTTCATATGAGCGATTTATGAAGATTTTCTTAGCCCTGTATTTCTTATTTGAAAAATTAAATTAATTCCTTCTTATCTCAAGTGACTGCAGAATATGTGAATCTTGTTTGCATCTTGATTCAAACAAAGCAGCTGTAAAATTGAGACAGTATCAGAAATTTGAAGACCGACTGAATATTTGATAGTAAAAAATTATTAACTTGTTTTAAGGTGTGATATGGTATTGAGATTGTATTGGGGGGAAAACAGTCCTTATGTTAGCAACACATACTGAAATATTTATAAATGAAATGAAAATTAAGTAAATAAAATGACTATAAAACTAGTATCAGTAGTAGATAATTACAAAAAATTAGCAAAAATTGGAAAGCACAAAATAAAGCACTTGGGTATTAGCAAAGGGAAAATTAGATTTAAAGAATTCAGGTATTCAAGCCAACCAGTGGTTGCAACATTAGTAATAGAATATGCTGCACAGCTAAAACATTAAAAGTTTGATGGTTTTTCTTGCAGACTGGTAGATTTAGTGCTTGTCACAGCAAGTCCAAATACTAAGCAGCATTGTTAACCAAATTTGCTGTAGAATTTCCCAGCTGCCATTTGTGTTTACCATTGCACAAATTCTCTCCGATTGGTTACTTTGGCCTCAGACTATCTTGAGGAACTTGATGAAAGTTGATGATTTCTTTATTTTTAGGGTTGTTAGTGAGAAAAATTCCAATTTGTCAGTATATATAACTATTTCTGCTTGTGATGATGCATAACATCGCTTGTGAATTTCCCAGGCAGTGGCTTGCAATCCAGAAGTTACGAAGCAAAATCCACAAGAAAGTAGATAGGAAAGCCAGCAAAGGAAGGAAACTTCGGTGAGTTACTTTTTGGAAAAAATTTTTTAGTGTTGACATTTTATATCTTTCCTCTTGCATTTTGGCTGTTATGTCATTTTTCTATTTCTTCTGATGATTCTGTTTTTAAGAGTCAGATAAATAACTAAAACAGAATTCAAGGGATTTTTTTGACTCAGTTTTTCTCATTCTAAAATTAGAAATACAGCTTCATTGACTTTTTGTTCTACTGTTGTGAGTGGATGGGTGAAATAAAATCTGCATTTCCCTGAAAGAGAAATAATGAGAAAACAAAGGCAAGATAGTTGAAATATCTTGGTTTTAAAAAAAATGATTTGTATAGAATATTTTAAAAATTTGATTCTGGAATCTTATTAGGATAGAATTGCATTGATCCATTTTTTCATGTTGCCATACATGTACACAGTATGCTAAAAAGACATAAATGAAGGACTGCAGAGAATGTTAACTGTGCTTAAATTAGATGAGAAATATAATTTTTGTGAGAAAATAGAGAAATTTCTGACTCTACAAAAATCACCCATCCTGTGAGCCCTTTAAGAAGGAGCTTTATAAGGATACAGACAAAAGGAGGAGCAAGAGCAGGAATCGGCATTGCTATAGTTTTAGGCTCACCTCCCTGGCAACTATATATATGTGTATAAAAAAACAGTATCATTGCACAAAGCTTCAGCATCAAAGGAACTACTTGTAATTCAGGTGTACACTGAAAAAAAATCTTAAACTTGTGTTGGGACAGTTTCTGACAGATAGCTAATCCCACCTCCTTAATTACAGCCTGCTTGTCATTAAATTCCTTTTAGACCAATGTAGACCTATCTCATTTTTGAGCATGGGAGCTGGGGACCTGAGATATAAGTATTTGGTGCCATTATTACTATCATTGTTATTGTTGTCATTATTTCAAGACTGGGTCAGTCTCCTACCCTCCTGTGCATTTACTCTTCTCTACCTTTCTCCCCCTGCCCACCACAAGGATTTAAAGAAGAGTGTTACTAATAGTACTTTATAAAAGTGACCAGGCTGAGTGATTACCTTATTCTTTAATTTTGGGATCAAATTTTTCTCTAATACTATGCTTTTAAAATTAGAGCATTACAAGGCTATAAATGTTCTCTAAAGGGAGGAGCTCAGGACCTTAAGTCAAGAAACTTGGGTTCAAATCCTGGTTCTGTCTGGTTATATGATTTTGGTTGTTCTTTGTTCTCTGGGTCTCACTTTTTCCATTTACTAAATGGATACAATAATCCTTACTGTACAGATTTGGTGTGGGAATTAAATGAAATAATATATAAATGTCTGGTACATAGTAGACATTCAAAAATGTTAGTGTCTTTGGTTTCTCTTGTGTTTATCTATGGGCATTGCTATTGCAAAATATATGCTCTTCAAAAGAATTGAGAGGAAAACATGCCTTTTCTACATTATTTTTTTTATGAATTTTAAAAGTACGGGGGCAGGTAGCTATATTATGTGCAGTTTGAAGTCAAGAATTGTGCTGCTTTGTTTTTTGAGACAGTTCCAACCTTATTTCCTTGTAGACAGTGGTTATTCAAAAAATGTTTTGGGATGATGATTATAGTAAAATTAAAATGCTTGTTACATAATGAGAGGAGGTTATAACTGTAAACATAAGACAGGTTAAGAAATCTGGCTGAGTATTGGAGAAGTAAGAACTTTTCCAGTGCGGCAAATAACTCAGGAGAACATGAGTCAGTTGTTTCCCAAATCAAAATAAATTTATCAGAATTGTTATCAGCTTGGAAGAAAATAACCAGGATTTTATTTTAATAGCAATGCCTTTTGTTATATTAATTTATTTTTATTTTATTTCTTAAATTTTATTTACTATTATTATTATTTTTTTACATTCTAAGGTGCTGTGGAGCAGTTGTAGGGGGAGGGGGAAGGGATGGGGAATGGGGGGGAGGAGGAGGAAGGAGGGGGAGGGCATGGTCAAGGCCCGTGGCACCCCCCTCATTCCAACAGGGGAGCCCTGGGTGCTTCCAGTGGTGGCTCAGTGGTCATTGCTGGGCTGAATTGGTGTGGTGTGGCTGAGGCCCTCAGGGAGCAGCCCCCCTCCCTCCTGGGCTTGGGAGCCCAGGGTACTTCTGGACCTTCTAAGTTTGATAGGTGTTCTTTGGTGGTGTTAGACCTTTACTGATTAACATTGGAACTTTGATCTGTAGGTTTTTTGTTTTTTCTTTCAGTTGTGTGTTGGATTATTTGCTCTTCCCAGCACTTAAACTCTGCACTGGAACTAATTTGTCATCCTTTACTTACTTCTAAAATGGGGAAACTTCCTGTGGGGACCAACACTTGGGCCTGTGGTTGAGGTAAATTGCTGCTTTGCTGCTGATTCCCTAGGGAAGGCTTTTTGTGCAGTTCAGGTTTTAATTGTTGACCTTTTCAGCACTTCTAGGTCTTGTGAGGTCTGGTACGCCTGGGTTATGTGGAAAATCTGGTCTGGGCCTGAGTCTTTTTAGCAAACTGTACCCCCTTCAGTTTTACGTTCCTGACCAGTCTTCACTGAGTTGTTCTGCGCTGATTGGGTGGTGGATCACCTGTCCAAGCTGTGCCCCATGCTCTCCCAGTGGGTCTGTCTCCACCACCACCTGCACTCCAAACGCTTCCCATGGGATGGGCTGTGCACTAGTCCCTTGTGATGACTCACTTCCCTCTGAGTGGCTCCTTTTTTCAGTTGTCTGTGGCTCCTTGCTCTTATGTGGGTCCACGGGAACACTGTTAGTGGTCTTGCTGGCCTGGGGGCCACCAAGGCCCTGTTCTCCCCTGAACCCTCCAAGCAACTTCATACAAAAGGCACAGCTGTGGCTTTTGCCAGCTCTTGCTCCATGCGCTCACCAGCTCCAGCCTTGAAGCAGCTGGGGTGGTCCTTTCTTTCTCTCATTGTGGCTTCTCCTGCCTTCCTGCACTCCATAGGTCTCTCCTCCTTCTTCTCCTGAGTTCTAGCGGCCCCAGCTTGGCAGTCGTTGCTTTTTAATAGTTGTTATATTAATTTATTAAACTAACCTCATTAAACTGTTCATTAGAGAGAGGTATGTGCCAATGCAATCATATACCTTTGTTTTTATAGCATTTTGATACTGATTGAGAACCCCATATATCCAGAGGCATTAAAATCTTATTGTGGCAACAGAGAGGCAAGAGATAGTCTATTTAAACAGGGCTAAACATTAAAATATAAGAAGTGGTTTTAGTGTCCTTCACATTCTGAGAACCATATGAGATGCTGGGTAAGACCCAGTCTGTCCTCAAGGAGCATATACTCTGAGAGGATGGCAGACAGTAGTAGACAGTAACGCTGTGTGGTGGGTGCTACAGTAGAGATAATCCTGCCCCACACTTGGGGAATTGCAGCCTTGGGAGACTAGTAAGAGTTAGCCCAGCCAAAGGCAAAAAGAATAATGTTTGCAAAAAACGTTTGCAGACTTGTGAGAGTGTGGAGCTCATTTTGGAAACTGCAGTTAATTTGTTTTGGCAGACACTTAAAGTGAATATGGGGGAATGGCAGGAGATGTGGCTGTGTGCACAGGAGAGTGCTAGATCATGGCCTTGCTGAGAATTTTGGACTTAATTCTGTAGACTATAGTGAGTTGTTGAAAGATTTTAGGCAGAGGAATGTTGTCATAACATTTGCATTTTAGAAAGTTAATTTTAGGGGTTCTGTTGAAATGGACTAGAAAGTTTTGAGAGCAAGGGCTGGAAGGAATTGGAAATCATGGATTGAGAGACATTTAAGCAAGTGAGTAGTTTGTGCTTGTGCAGTCGCATGTGAACAGGTGAAGGAAAGGGAAGAGCTTAGAATGACTCCCAGAGTTTCAGAGGGAACTAGATAGGTTTTGGTTTTATTCACTGATATGTATGAGGTAGAGAGAGATTGCAAGGAGGAAATAAATTTTTTGTTTGTTTGGGGGAGGATGGATTCAGTTTCTAAATATGTTGAATTTGATTATAACCTTGAGAAATCCGAGTTTAGAGATAGAGTTTTGAGTCAAAAGAAGGATGTATAGGAGGGTATAGTGTGAAGAATAGAATCCCGATGAATCCCCATATATGAGTTACACAGAGGGGGAGAGAAGCCCATAAAGAATGCTGAGGAAGAGTGGTCATTGAGGTAGGAGGGCAGGAGAGAGTGAAGTCAAGCAGTGAATGCAGAAGAATGTTTAATAAGGGGTCAGGAGTGCCCCATGCCTCAGATAAATCAAGTAGGGTAGGGATGTTTCATTTGTGATCACATTTCTGTGCATGAGGGCTGTTGATTACTAAGGGACTTTTCATAGTTGAAAGGCCTATAGAATTTTTGTGTAAACTTACTATCTTTTTTTTTTTTTTTTTTCCTTTTTGTCTTTTTTCGTGACCGGCAACGGATCGCAACCCTCAGTGTCGCGCCCGTACCGGACCGGGACCGGCCATGGGATCGCAACCCTCGGTGTTGCTCCCGCCTCTCGCTCAGCCAGTGAGCGGCCGGTCTGTATGTGGGATCCAAACCCTCGGCGGGAGCGCCACCACGCTTCCCAAGCGGCGCACTATAGCAGTGCGCCACCGGGCCGGCCCTAAACTTACTATCTTGACTGATATGTTTTGTAAAAGCCTTTTGGAATCCAGTTGATGTGCCATCAAAAGGTCATGCATAATTCCAGCCATTAAATGTAGAGAAAATGGGAGGAATAGAAGATCACCACTAGGCAAACACCACAGTAATAATTTTTTCTGGCAAGATCCACCAGTGGGTGCTAGAGTCAAAGGGCAAAAGTTTGAAGAGAAACAGTATACAGGTTGAGCATCCCTAAACCGAAAATCTAAAATCTGAAATTTTTTGAGGGCTGACGTCATGTTCAAAGGATTTTGGATTTGGGGATTAGGGTTGCTCAACTGGTATTATTCTACAAATATTCCAAAAAAAAAAAAAAATCAAAATCTGAAATACATCTGGTCCCATGCATTTCGGGTAAGGGATACTCAAACTATATTTTCATGATCTCAAAGTATTTTTCCCAGTATATTTATCAGTTACAAGGAGAAAAATAGTAACTTTACAGTGGAGAAATCCAGCTGATACCACCTTAGCCAGGTGTTCAAGATTAACACGAGTAATAAGGCATATCTACATCTCTCTATCTTCAGTAGAAGGATGCAACATTGTTTCTGTGGTATTCTTGCCAAAAATGCCTAATCGCAATCTCATCAGAAAGCATCATACTGGGCCGACCCTGTGGCTTACTCGGGAGAGTACGGTGCCGGGAGCGCAGCTGCGCTGGGAGCGCCGAGGCCGCGGGTTCGGATCCTCTGTAGGAACGGCCGGTGCGCTCACTGGCTGAGCGCTGTGTGGACGACACCAAGCCAAGGGTTACGATCCCCTTACCGGTCGCAAAAAAAAAAAAAGAAAACATCGTACTAATTCAAATTGTGAGACACGCTACAAAATAACTCATCAGTACTTGTCAAGTGTCAAGGTAATGACAGAACAAGGAAGACTGAGGAACTGTCACATATTGGAAGAGTAAGGAGATGTCACAACTAGGTACAATGTGGAGTCCTAAGATTGGATCCTGGAAAAGAAAAAGGACAGTAGGATAAAAATGGGTGAAATTTGAATAAGGTCTGTAGTTTAGTTAATAGTATTGTACCAGTGTCAGTTTCCTGATTTTGATAATTACACTATGTTTATGTAAATTGTTAACATTAGAGGGAAACTGGGTGAGGATATGCATGACCTCTCTGTGCTTTTTTTGTAATTTTTCTGTAAGTTTATAATTATTGCAAAATAAAAAAATAAGAAGAAAAGTCATAAGGTCATCAGTGTTGAATTGGCTTAGGTTTGTGTCATCTCTACTCACCTGGCTCTCCTTGTGACCGTAAATGTGAGGATTGTGGTCAGGAGCAGAGAGTAATCTTTACTAATAGCAGTAGTGACAATTAACATTTATGGAGCTCTCACTGTTAGGCACTGCTAAGCAATTTACATGCAGAAAGAGCACAGACTGTCTGTGCTTTGGAGCCAGACTGTCTGTGTTTGAAATCTGGCTCTTCCATTTACTGTCCTGAAGCTCTTGGGTAGGCTGGTCAGTTAGCTCAGTTGGTTAGAGTGCAGTGTTATAACACCAAGGTGTCAGGGGTTCAGATTCCCCTACTGAGGTGCTACCAAAAAAGAAGACCTTGGGCTTTACATCTCTGTGCTTCAATTTCCTTATCTGTGAAGGGAATATAATAATAGAAGTTACATTTCATAAGATTGTTATGCAGATTAAATGAGCTAATTCATGTAAAGTGTTTAGAGAAGATGAGTAACTTTACCTAACATTACAGAGCTAGTAACTAGCAAACTGGGATATGAACTAATTGATCTGATTGCAGAGCCTATGCTTTTAACCTCTGCTTGTTGAGTTGTTTCACTGGTGGGACCAGGTAGCCTACGCACGCACCAAAAAGACATCCTGGCTACATTAGCATCCTCCTAAAGGATTAAACCATGTGTCTCAGGCTAGATAAGAATATTGTAAATAACTTCTTTAAATTAGACTTTAAGAACAGGTAGGATGTGCCAGCTGTTGTCACCGATACTAGGTCCCAACACTGAGCAATCTTGCTCTTTTTTTGTGATAGGGTTGGAAAGATAAGATTTCCAGAAATATTATAGCAAAGATTAACATTACCTTGTGGAAACAGCTTAAATGATAACAGGCCACTAGTTTAGATGGCCTAGTCACATTGGTCATGGCAACTTGCTAATTGGGTGCTAGAAAATAATTTTACCTTTTTTTTTTTTTGTCTTTGTTCGTGTCCGGCAACGGATCGCAACCCTCAGTGTCGCACCCGCACCGGACCGGGACCGGCAACGGGATCGCAACCCTCGGTGCTGCGCCCACGCCTCGCTCAGCCAGTGAGCGGGAACCGGTCTGCATGTGGGATCCGAACCCTCGGCGGGAGCGCCGCCGCGCTCCCAAACGGCGCACTGTAGCAGTGCGCCACCGGGCCGGCCCTAGAAAATAATTTTAAAGGAAAAATTTTGGTTTATGGAAATAATTATAATTATTGATTATCAGCATTTTACTCAGCATTGTATTTAAGTGGGCTTAATCATGATTTAATCAGACATCATAATGTAAATGAATTAAACTCTTGAGCCTTTAATAATGAGATATCTTACTGTGTTTGTCTATTTTTCCACAACAAAATTATTGTTTTTTTTTCTTAATGTGGTTTGTAAAAAGTGTTATTTTTGTTCTTGCTTTTTTTTTTTTTTTTCCTGTGGGTGGCTGGCCATCTGAACTCTTGACCTTGATGTTATAACACTATTCTAACCAACTGAGCTAACCAGCCAGCCCTAAAATGTGTTATAATACCAGAACATGCACCCTTATCCTCAGCAGCACTGAGATTAGGTAAAATGTATTGCATTTAGTACACATTACTAAATTGTCTTTAATCTGATTACCTCTTTTTTGCAGGGGTGCAGCTGGCCAGTTCTGGAATCTGAACCCTTGACCTTGGTGTTATAACACCACACTCTAACCTGATTAATTCTTAAAGGTTTCTTTCATCATGTAGTTAATAGTTACTGAATATATTATATCAAAGTTTAAAGATATTCTACAGAGTAGTAGCATCCAATAAAAATGTTACATATGTAATTTTAAATGTTCCAGTAGACACATTAAAAAAGAAAAAAGAAACAGGTAAACTTAATTTTTCTAATATATTTCATTTAACCGAATATATTAAAAGTATTGTTTCAACAATTTATTATTTTAAAAATTATTAATGGTAAATATTACCTTCTTTTTTTTGTCTCAAATCTTTAACATTTGGCATGTATCTTATAATTACCGTATATCTCAATTGAGACTAGTCACATTTCACTTAACAGTTTTAATTAATAGTGATTATTTCTTGGGGGTTTGACTACAGGGGACTTTTCAGTTCTCTGCACATTTCTGTATTTGGATTTTTTAAATATATATTCTTTTTTTATAATTAGAGGATAGCAAACACATTTTTTAAAAAAACAAGTATGATACATACAGGTTTTCTTAGGTTTTGTTTTTTGTATTTTATAAAAAGTGAAGAATTAGAAACAATAAAAAAGTTCAAAAATATGAAAATATATTACTCCTGGAATCGTATGCACCATTCAGATATTGTTTATTGGACAATGCTTACAATGTAAGTGAAAAAAAGAGCATAGAAAATTGTGTAAATATGTATATAAAAGTGTCACTACGTAAAACAAAGACAACTAACCAAAATGTTAATTGTCTATAGGTGGAGAAACTGTTTTGTGCGTGTGCTTTGTTTTCCAGATTTTCTATAATGAATTTATACTTTTTCTTTTACTCTTGTAATGGGGAAAAATCTCATCACTATTATTGAAAATTTCATTTGTTGAGAAAAATAATGTAATTTGGAAGGCTTAGCTGTGGGTGGTACAGGAGAGAATCAAATTATTTGATTTGTGTAAAGATGTTTCTAAAACTGTAAAACATTATGCACATTAAAATATTTATCATATTTTTGTTTGTGGACATTGTTTTGCCAAAATAGAGTTTTTTTGGTTAGAATTTCATAGTACATATATACACACAAGGGTACTTCAAGAAGTTCATGGAAAAATAGAATTGAAAGATAATACAAATCTCTCCATAAATTTTTTGAAGACACCTCATATATATAGTCATAAAATCCTCTTCCACCATAATGAATAGAATTCATTTTGAATTCTCTTTGGTATAATTTAGTCATTCTAAGATCATATGTTCAGCCCCTTTCACCAGGGAACCTCAAAGCGTTTCATACAAAAATACCCCTTTTTCTATTGGTGGGCAGTAGGTGATGTAACTGAAATTTTCATATTAACATGACTGAAGATCTAGGAATCAAACTTGTTATAAACTCAGTCGTGTGTGCTCCTTCATTCAAAGGTAGGGGAAATGAAAGACTCAGTGAAGCTAGTGCATGGAGATGATGTGGAAATGTAAACACCTTTTTCTGACTTGGGGAGCCAGTGCCAGTGAGTGATGGTATTGGTGACATATTGCATTCAGGTGTTGTGCCACTACCTGTGCTAATGTCATTAGGTAGCTTTAATGACACTGAAAAATGATTAAGATGTAGAAAGTAGAAAGGTTATATAGAGTAACCTTTCTATAGGTTATATAGAGGAGTAAAATGCAGTATTCGAATCCTCATTTTCTTTTGTCTGGAATAATGTTTAAGGGTTCATATACTGATCAAAGACAAAAGTGTGTATCTGTTCTTTTGGGGGCCTGTGATATAAACAGATCTGTGCAGAACGGAACATTTGCAATGTGTTATCAGACTTTTCTCCTGTAGCATTAAGGAAAAAGGGGAAAATAAGGTTGTGAGTGGTAAGTGCCTGTGAATTTTTCCCTGTTTCCATTCTGGAACCAGATGTTCCTGTGATTAGTTCTTGACTTTGTTTACTTGTAGAATGTGTTTCCTTTTCTAGGTTAATAGTTACTAATGTTGCTGCCTGCTTGTTTCCTGCTTTATTTAGGTTTCATATTCTTAGCAAGCTACTGAGCTTCATGGCACCTATTGACCATACTACAATGAATGATGATGCCAGGTGAGTAATAGATTAATTATATGTCACAAATGGCTTCATGACAGCCTGATATTGACCTGTTCTACAGCTTGTCGCCCTCTCCATTTCTTCTTATCAGTTAACCATTTGTCACTGGCATCATATTAAGGGTTGTTGTCACATCTCTTCACTCCCATAATTACTGTAAAAGCCAAATCAGAAATTTCCATAAATCTCAGTGCTGCCTCTGGTGGTTTGTTGGTTTTTGCTGTTTTGTTTTGTTTTTAACTTTAGTCTACCTGACTAGGACATCTGAGCCCCTCTCTAGGACAGAAGGTCAGGGCAGCTTGCTTGTATGTATTTGGAGGTTTTGTGCATATGCTGTTCTTTTTAAAATGGCTCTAGAGATTGCTCTGGAGATGTGCATATGTTATATTTGTTGAGGCTGCTGTTGAGGATTATGAGTATTTTTACAAAAGGAAGTATATGCTCATTTTATAGAGCTGAAACAATATGGAAATATATATAGAAAAAATGTATGTGTACTCATAACAATTCAGAGGTAAACTTTTTTTTAAGAATAATTTCTTCTATATCTCTTTTTTTAACCATTGTCCACAGTATAATGACCTTTTTATTTATTTTATTTTTTCTGTTTAATGTTTCAATAGAAACTTATTTTCTCAATGTAGAAATGAAAGAAACATCACAAATTAATTTTAATGTGAATTGATAAGGAATAAATTTAACAAAAAGATTAACATTCTTAATGAAAAAAGATGTCTTAAAAATGAATTAGGAAAATTTAAGCAGAAGTTTAGTGGAGGACATGAGGAGAGACGTTATACACCCCATAGAAGCACACATGGCTAACAAGTACATTCAAAGATGTTGTTTTGGGGGTGGGGAGGGGTGAGGGGAGAGACTAAGGCCCATGGTCCCTCATCTCAGGACGCCAGGGGCTTCAGGCTCGGGCCCCGTAATCCCTGGCCTCTCTTCTATATTTCTTAACTGGCATTTTACTATAATGAAGAGCTTTCTCTTCTTCATTTATTTACTGTTCGTACATTTATATTGATGTGGACTTATGCACTCCCATTTTATTCAATGAGTTGTCTTTATTTTGAAGTTAAAATGGTCCCTGATTAGTAGAGGCCCTTTCAAGATCGCTTGTGTCCTTTTGGGATGTCTCCAGTTATTCTTTGAGTATTTCCTTACTTTGTGGCACGAGATGTTCCAGGCTCATCTTATACCTTCCCTGGAATCAGTCTTTCCAGAAGGAGCCCTGGTTCTTTGTAATGGATTATGGTGTTTAGAAACCAAGATCTGGGTACTAGGGATGCTCATGGTATACTGTGAGCATTTTCATGTTAAAATAATTCACAAATTTAAGATGACTATGTAGTGTTTTTAAAATATTATTTATTTAGCCATTCACTGGTTGTTGGACATCTAAACTGTTTTTAATTGCCATTGTTGTAAATAATGCTGTATTAGACATTTTAATATTTACCAAGTGAAGTCATTGGTCATAGTATAGGCAAAACCAAAGCTATTTTCTTGTGTTTTTTTGGTGGCTGCCTGATACCGAGATCTGAACCCTTGATCCTAGTTGGCATGAGACAGCCAAGCTCCTAGAACAACTACTGTTTGCCCTTCAGGGTCATCTTTATAGAGACAGAATATCAGTGGGCTAAGAGGGGGAAAGGCTTGACATCCCACTGGTAGGGAATCCCTCTAAGCATATTGTCACCACCAAGAGCAGGTCTCTTTGCTCGCTCTAAACTTAGAAACAGAGCTTACTTTACGTGGTGTAAATCCCCGCCCCCCATCCCACCCCTGACCCGGGGTGCTGTGAGGTCAGGGGGAGTATGATGTAAGAATGCAGATGATCTCCTACTACGGTTCTAACGAAGTGAAGTGTTTGGGAGTTATGGAAATAATCAGCTACTTTTTGCCTGTGTTTTTGACAGACCCTCTGAGAAAGACTTTAAAAGAGGTTCATTCTTTATCATTTGTTGTGTTGATGGAAGCCAGATGGTAAAATGCTGGTGTGATAAGTAGGAGCAGCACATCTGAGTAAGATCTCTGAGACAGAGATGTGCTGCTCAGAACTGGCCACTGAGTCAAATAATGGGAAAGGGAATCCACATGAACTGCTTACTTTGTTGGCTTGGGTTTTAGCTGTCAGCATGCAAAAGGTCTGAGTGACAATGATCAGCTTGATGTAGGCCAAGGAAAATTGGTATTTGCCTTGCATTAACTGTTGCTTCAAGGAGGGATTGTTAGATAAACTTGATTCTGGGACCATCTGTAGGTTACTGTATTTTTTTAAGTAGTTTTTTTAATTCCAAAAATGTAGTAATTTAACATTTTATAGGTACTCTATTCCTTTGTAAAGAACTTAAAGAACTTAAATTCTCAACAGGAACAGAAAGAATTTCAATTTTAGCCCCTTATTTCCTCCCCCCAAATAAAAACCACCTTTCCCACTCCTTTTATAAAGCTGTTGGCATTAAAAAAGAACAAGGAGAGGATCCTTTAATGATAAATACTAAGCACCAAATACATTATTGTTTTACATCTAGAGTTTTAGAAAAGAAACGTACAAATGTAATCCAGCCTTGTAAAGTGCTTTGTCAATATCACTGCCAGGTTGTTCTTGAGGTGCCTTGGTATAATAGAATTTGTACAGGCAATTTATCTTCGGCTTGCCATCTTTGTGTATGGGTCTGCACCCTAAATATGGGCATATTCTACCACTCTACTAATAATATTCTTTTCCCCCAGTTGGTAACCCAGAGTTACTTAAACCATTTTTTATTCCTTCTTGCCCCTTTATTTAATAGGAATATGCACTAAATCATGGTGAAATAATCTGGTGTAGCTTGCTTAACATTTGAGAACACATCAGCTAATAATACCAGAAATACCCTCCATAGTGCATGTTCTGTTGGTTAAAAACTTGCAAGCAAGAATGGTTAAGATACAGATATTTTCTCTGAGGCTTCTTATCTCCTAAAACGAAACAGGTTATTCTGACAGGTGAAACAAGTCCGGTGCAAATATGCAACATTGATCTAATCAGCAGGAACAAGAGCAATATTTTAACTGGTGTACCTTTTACCAGCATCATTAAAGCCTCCCATTACTCTTTTGTTAGAGGTTCCTTCGCTTCCTTATCAGATTACAGAATGAACATAACTCATGGCAGTGATTTAATCTCTTGTTAAAGAGGATTACAGCTTTGCATTAACTTGGATTGACACAGTTTATAATTCGCTTGTTGACACTCAGGTGGGTGGCATCACATGTTTGCCCCCCCCCCCCCCCCCCCCCCCCCC